CATGTAAAATCACTAAAAATTTCTTGAAATTAAGCATAATGTCTTGCAATATTCACATTGTCTTACAACTAAAAAATTGTAACAAGCTTCAAGAGCATGTAATTATGTTTTGCCTTTTGGAACATATAAGCATCTTTTAAAATAAAAAAGATTGTTGTTAAATTCAAACTTAGAAGTATCAAAAGTTTTAGAAGAAGTATTCTTAATATCATGCATAAGAAGATCCAAAGACATATTTGATTGAACTTAATTAAAAAATATTAAATTAAGAATCAATATTGATTTTATTGCTCAAAGATGTAATTGTTCTAGCTATAAAAGAATTGTTTGTTGTTAAGGAGAAATTATATCTCTTACTTTGATATTATTTGTGACAATACTACATCCAAGTAAAATCAAATTTGTCTATTTTCATAAAAAAATATCTTTAAAAAGTTAATACAATAGAACATTAGTATTATAGTAAAAGCTATCTTCAAAGCTTGAAATGCTACTTTGACTTCTTTATTTTACTTTACTTTTGCCTTTACAAATCAAATGTGTAAATTGAATTACAACTTGAACAAAAGTTCTCAATAAAGATTTGATGATAATTAGTATGAAGTTTTTGGCCAAATTCTCATTGATATACTCCTTCAATAAAAGCAAATCATTTTATAATAAGCTATAGTATGGTCCAAATTGATCTTTGTAAGATTGTTATGATTTTTTTTAATCATATGACTTTTTTAGGATGGTTTAGAATTTAGATTTAGAATTCAATGTTTTAAAATTTAGGAATTTTATTTTAATAGATTGACAAATCTATTATTTTAAAATTTATTTTATTTAACATGTTATAAATATATTATAATAAAAGACAAAAAATATATTATTTATTTGTAAGTAAAATCAAGATTTGATTTTGTTGAGATGGTTTTATTTTCTTCATAATTTACTATTCTAACAAAAAAAACTTATAAAAATTTAAGTTCATTAAGTAAATATAATAAAATTTTATATTAGTAAAAATTAATAATATATATTTATACATAAGTTTTTAAAAATAAGATTATTATTTTTTGTATCAAAATTTTTTATTAATTTAAAATCATAATAATAAATTAATTCTTAATTGTAATAGTTGCAATAATAAAAATTTATTTTTTATGGTTACATTTTTTTGTATTCTATGAAAAAAATAAAAATGTATAAAAATTACTATTTTATTTTTATTTAATTTATAGGAAATATATTTGTAATAAAGTTTAGAATATGGATATATTACTTTGATTACTTTCAATATATAATTGAAGGAAACTATTAGTCTTTGACATTATATGTCCTCTAAATATAAGGATACACAAAAGTAATATTTTAGTTGAGTAAAGTGAAGTGATATTTAAAGAGAAAATTTCAAAAAACATCAGAAGTTTGCCATCCACTATAGCACAATGGATGATACTATTTGTGACGACGATAATCCAAAATTGGTGGATAATTCGGCAAAGGCGGCGCGGCGATGGGGCCAATTAGCCAACCACCTACCCATGACTGTGGATCTTCAACGCATGCCCTTCCTCATGGCAGGGCGTGCAATGCCGTGGCGGCATATATCTGCAGGCGCCTCCGGTGCGGTGTCGGTGATGTCGGTATTGATCCCGTAGTACCTCCGCCATGGAGGACAACGCCTTCGCCGCATTCTCATTCTCGGCCCCGGCGCCGCCAACGAGCTGGAATCGAACTGAGAAGACCGTCAAGGTGTGTGCGCTCGCTCCCGGAAGTAATCTCCGCTTGCGTCTCATACAGGTGTTGGACCTTACCAAAACCCTAAAAGCTGCGAAGAAGTCTGTTAATTTCCGAATGCCCGATTACAATGGTCTCGAGGGGTTTAGATCTCTGGGATTACACACTGGGTTGCCGAATTCAGGGAGTTGGTTGTCTGTACTTGGAGGAGAAAGCTTTGTGCTTGTATATTAGGAGCTATGTCTCTGAATGCTTACGTGGTTTGTGCATGTGAAACACTTGCTGTAAGGAATGGTGTCGCTGTAATAAACCTTACGCAACTTCTCCTTTTTTTTTTTTAGGTGGAGGTAGATGCGGGTGTTAAACAGAGTGGCAGACTGTCTCCTTTGGGAATTAATCGTGATCGCTCTGTGTCACAGACAGACAAGGTAGGATGGTTGGTTTGTGTATGGTACTGGTCATCTCTTCATGATTCAAGTAGTTTACATCCGTCACTCCGTATTTTTTTTCATGTAGCATGCAGGACGTGGATGCTTGGTGAACTTTGATCTTTTAGTCACTTAGCCTGAGGTAGTGAAAATGCGTCAGTGGACTTTTGAGTTGTTCACTGTCGTTAGCTATGTGGCGTAGTTGATTTGGTTGAATGTAGTTGGACCTTTATTCACTTGATGTTTCTGTTTTTTATGGTCAATCTGATGATTTGTGCAGCGGAGAAAATTAACAGCTAAAGTGGAACGCTTTGACGCTGCGGCAACTGTGGGAAGATTGCCATGCCTTGTCAAGACAGAACCCAAATTGGAGATTGAAGACTCGGGTGAGCGTCTAAGAGACATTTAATTTTTTCCCCAATTTCTGTTTTCGCTAGTTCTGAGACTTGTGCTAATTGGCGTTAGAGTTCATTGGAGCTGATATTTAAAACAGAACCATGTCTTAATCCTCTGTCAACACAGGAGTCTCTGGGGTCGTAGAGGGGTACTGAAAATCTGTATGTTGAAGATAATTTTTGATGTTGCGGCTGTTAACTATGGCATGGTTTGTAAGCGTGTGTCTTCATCTTTCACTGAAAAAAGCAGTTCCTTCGTCTTCACAGGTCCTCGCCGAAAATTTTCTCGCTTATGAATCGTTAGTAACGCATTTTTTAGCTGTAGTATTCTTTGGGAAAATTTTCCATGTTAAGTTGTGCAATTTTCAGATCAGGCGATTTCTGGGAACATTGTAAAAGTTGAATCTTCATCAAAAGCGGTGAAAGCGAGGCAATCAAGAAGTAAAGCGGATAACTCAACAAAAGAATGTGCCCCTGAGAATTGGGAACAAATTGTTCAGGGGATTAGGTATGTCTTCGATTGATGTGCATGGGGTTAATAGTATGCATGTTGGTGTTTCACGTAAATGCTTTAGTATAGCGAAGTCTCTGAATGCTCCATCGGAGCTGGTTTGGATGCAATAGCAAAGGATTTGTGAAGCTTATTTTCGTTCTTCTGGTTCAAACACCTTACAAGATTTGTCTTACGTTATCATTTTATGAATTCCTAATGGTTTTGTTATGTGTGCTACTTTCAGATCCATGCGGATGGGCAAAGATGCACCAGTGGATCTTTTTGGAACTCATCAAGTAGTGCTTTTTGCCTTCATTTTGTGCTTTTGCGATCAATACCCATATACTCTGATACAAATTAGAAACATATTTTGCATTGTGAACCTGTTTTAGCGCTTCTATCATTACAGGCGTCACATTGTTTTGAAATAAAGATGGTGATTTTCTTCGTAGTTATTCGACATTGAAGCCGACAAAGGAACGCAACAGTTCCAGGCCCTTGTGGCAGCCATGATCAGTTCGCAAACCCGAGATGCTGTTACTGGAGCTGCCATGCAACGACTGCGCGCCATGCCTGGAGGCCTCAACGTTGCTCACATTGCAAGTGATGATGTTGAGATTGATGCATTGGCGGAAATTTTGAAGCCTGTTGGGTTTTACAGGTGCTTCTCACCTTTTGCATGTGTAGTCCTACTTTTGAACTTGAAACAAATCGACTTACCTGGATTATTATTTCGATTACAAGTTCTAAGGCTTTGGTTTTCTCTTTGTAATTGTCGTACTTAAGATATAAGTCTTTGTTTGCATGTTCTGTTTGTACAGTAATACACAACTATCTGACTTGGATTTTGATGTAAATTTAGGCAGAAAGCGAAGTTCATGAAGTCCATAGCACAATCACTTGCAGCTCCGCCGCATAATGGAGCAGTTCCAAACTCACTTGAGGAACTTGTAAGATTGTTCGTTTCCTAATAGTATTCCAAAGGCTTGCTTCTCTTACCGTTTTGTGTTCGCTGTAGATTAAATCCTGTAAACATATCTTCCAACGCCACGAATGTAATTCAAACGTGCCGAGACACTGTTGCGCCATTATACCTACTCCATATTAATAAGATAATCTAGCCGTGATTATGCTGTGTTTAACATGCTAGCTTCGATCGTAGCACAAATACTTTTTGCGTAGAAATTTAAGCACTCGATCAGCACCAGGATAGGATCTAGCAACGTCAAGTAGTTTCACTGTTCCCATGAGAAGTAACTCTTCCATGTTAGACTTGCAGATGAAGCTGCCTGGTGTGGGACCCAAAGTTGCTCTATTGGTTCTGTGGGTAGCCTTTGGCATGTGAGTATTATAATCATGTCCATTCTATGAACACAAGTTTCTCATCAGAGGATACCCTTCGTCTGTAGCATTCGTATACATACTGAATAATCCTTCGGACGATGTGGAGGATTTCAATGTCATGATGACTTGTGACCCCTTGCTGAGTTCCTTCTGTGTCCTTGGCGATTGTGGTGCAGGGGTGAAGAGGGTTTAATCGTCGATACGAATGTCAGAAGAGTATGCTCTCGGCTTGGGTGGGTACCTGCGGATGCTACTCCAGAATTGACGCGAAGAACACTGGAGTCATGGATGCCACGCTCCATGTGGGCGGACACAAGCTTCCTGTTTGTTGGATTTGGACAGCAGGTGAATATTCCACTTCCAGATGTCCCGTATTATGTGTTAGAAGGAGTGTTGCATTAATTGCAGGAAGGGTCTCAACAAACCTATTGCTGATGAATTTCACTGTTGCTTTAATGGAACAATCGTCTGATTCTCCTGGATCTGACTAGAGAACACCGCATAACCGTTGGCTGCAGGTGTGCAAACCATTGGCTCCTAAGTGTGAGGGTTGTAAAGTAAGCCAATTATGTCCGTCTGCGTTCAAACAAAGCCCCAAAAGACAAACTCGCAAGCCCAAGTGACCAGTGCGGAGGTTGAGACCTACCAATTTTGTAGAATGGTGCTTCTATGGTCTCTGCCTCATTGTGGTCATATAAAAGATGAACCGTAGTTCCACAACCCCAGGATCAGATGGCAAGTATGGTGAACAGGGAAGGATGTGTTGGAGGCGCTTGTTGTCACCAGCTCATGGATTTACCATCCTTCCTGCAGCTGTCAGCAATCTGACCCCTCATCAACTTATGAAGAATTTGATGTCGAGACGCTCAGTTTTTAGCATGCTTGATTCTCACCCCTGAATCAGGAATTTTCTGGGGATGAAGCATTCAACGTCTCCTTATGTAAATGCTCAACTGTATATAAAGTTCTCATCTCTTCGTATGACAAACATGAGATTCATGCTCTCAATCCTACCATTTCAACAAACTCACTTTCCACACGATGGAAATGGGCACCTGAATTGGATGTTTTGTGCGGAAATATTTGGGTGTCAGTGTGCAGCCCATCTTGGTTGTAAATCACATGAGGTGATTGCTCTCACAATGCATGTATAGGCAGATGAATAGATGTTTGTATTCTGCAATTTGAATTTTTTTAATTTGGATTTAAAATTGGTAACAGTTTGGTTTTATGATTGATGTTGAGATTATAAATGCGGAATAACCAAGGTGATGTTACATGATAATAATATGGTATTATACTTTCTATTAAGAGGGCCAATAATATTTATTATCCAATTGATTTAGCTGGACTATTTCTCTCTCTCTCTCTCTCTCTCTCTCTCTCTATATATATATATATATATATATATATATTAATTTGAAATAAGAAGGAAGCACCTTGTCTGTTAATTTTAAACCTGTTTGATAATAATACGAATTGCAAACATGATAAAATTTCATTTAAAGTGCACATTTACACAGTATCTAAAAACAAGTAATAGCATGATTCTTAAAATATTTACGATAAAGCTATTTTTTAACTTAATAAAAGGATGTTTACAAAAAAGTATCATTTATATTTGTATTTATATTTGTTTTATTTCATAATGCAGAATTATTCAATTGAACGTCAGTTCTGTGGCACAAAAGCATTCTCAATTTCAACTGTTAGGAACTTTTTAAAATGAAAACGAATCGATTTGTCTATGAAATTGTCTATTATTTTACAGGTACAGCACATGCCTCTCCATGTAAAATAATACATGTCATCATAAAAAGCATAAAAAACATACAGACAATGACAGATATATGAATAAATTGTATTCATTCATGAATGGGAAGAGTTGGCAACTCACATAAATTTAAGCATTCTAAATCTTCAAATCTCAGAGTTCACATTTTAGTCTTACGCAGAAGAAAAGAAAGGAAAAAAGAAAAAGAAAAAGAAAACAACGGTATTCAATAAATGATTGACACTTCCACAAATTGAGGTTGTAGAGGACTTGAACACTTGATTTTAGATTAGTCTAAGATAATAATCATTATTTGGATGAAGGATTAAACGAAATCCAAATCTTCGGCATGAAGCAAAGGAACATAATGAAAACGACACCAAACTATGGCCAAACAACATTACAATGCCAAACAAGACAAAATTCTAACATCGAGAGAGAGATAAAAGAAAAAAGAGAGAAAAAAACAAAAAACAAAAAGATAGAAAGAAGCAGATCAATTCACTGCGCAAAAAATATGATGGATATGGAGGTGTAAGTTGCGGAAAAGCGAGAGTCTCGACCAGGCACGCCGTTTTACCAGACTACTAGCTCGCAGTGCCGAAGTGGTCTGGCTGTTGGACGGTCCCCGAAGAAGAAGCATGCCAATACGGTCAAACGCGGCTCACACAAAACGCGCAGGAATAGCCCAAACAGAGACGGTGTCGCAGGAAACGAGGGGGAGACGGGGAGAAACGACCAGGAAAAGAGCGCTCCGAAATGCCAGGCAACAAACCGAAGCCACACGAAGAAAAAAAACAAAAAAAAAAACAAAAAAAAAGAAGAAGGAATGGACAGAAAGCGGAACATGGATAAAAAAAAGGCCGCGCGGAAGGGAATGTCGGGGTAGAACGGAGGGCGGGGAGGAGTAAGTAACTGGACGAGCAATTGGGAGTGAGAACTCACAGTGCGAGTGAGTGAGTGAGTGAGCAAGTGGGGAAATAAGTTCCGCATTGATGCCTCGATGCCGCATCTGTGAAGGTAGGAAGGGCCCTCCTTGCCTCATCGCGACGGACGGGCGGACGGATGGAACGAACGAATAGACGGACGGCACCCCAACCAACCCGACGCTCGCTCGCTCGGTTGGTCGGTCTGGAGCCGGGACTGGTGGAGCTTGGTATGGGGAGGGTGAGTGTGGACCATACGAGCCCAAGCTTGCCTCGGCTTCCAGGTCTTCTTTCTCCGCTTTGGTTCCAGGTCGGAGTCGGAAGACCCTGCGGCACATGTTTGGTGGGTATCGGCTCGAGACGGGGTTCGTGACTGAATTCACCAGACGAGCACAGGCTCGGTGTTCGGCTTGGGGTAGGCTCGGTCCCTGGAGATGATTCGAGGTGGTGTTGGAATCTCGAGGAAGACGGGGAGGGAGGGGTAGCTCGGTTCCCGGGGTTTGGTTGAAAACCATACAATGCTCCAGGTTGCGGGTTTCGTTTCCGTGTGTTGATCCTTTTGATGATGTGGTGAGCGTCACTCGGTGATATTGAGAGAGAGCGAACGAGAGCGAGCGAACTAGAGAGAAAGAGAGAGCGAGGTATTGAGGGAAGTGTGAGCGCGATTTTGCAATTGAGAGGGTTTTGCTCGTGTTTGTGGAAGTGTCGTATTTTCTTTTTATATTTTGTGCTGTGTGAGAGCGAAGAGAGGGGCGGGTAAGGGTGAGAGTTGTAGACAAAAGGAGAGAAGACGAGGGGTTTGAAAGATTTTATCGAGGTTTGGGTGAGGAGGGTGTTGAGGAGCGAGACTTGTGTTGGTGTAGAGGAGGTGAGCAGAGAGGAGTCGAGGTGGAGATTATCGAATAAAGGCAGTTAGGGTATGGTGGTGGAATGTGGTTTTAACATGGCAGCTTCCAATACGCTTTCGGCTGTGAATGGGCACACTGTGCAACGCCGCAGTGTTGGTAGTGCTGGTAGTGTTGGGCAGAGCAACACAGGGTTGTCTTTTCAGTGCCAGCCGGTGCAGAACCCGGGGGGTCACTCGGACTCTGCGAGGTTGCACACCAACGGCAACTGCGGGGACAACAAGCAGTGCAGGGGTGAATTTTTGAGTGCCAAAGATGCTAGTCGTCGGAAGAGGGTATGTTGCTCTGGTTCATTTGATCCATTTTTGGTGATGTGGTGTGACAGTCCTTTGCATGCACATGTGATGAATTGTGAGGATACCCGGGGTGGCGACCTGTTTGGGCCTTAGAGGCGGCGATAACGATGTGTGATTTACCTGTCCTTGGATAACACGAGTAAGATGGGTGTACTCGTTAGGTGTTTTTTCGTGGTTTGCGGAGATGAAGTACAAGGGCATGGCACGTCTTGGGATTCACGATTTCTACTACGTTTATTTTATTTTATTGTATTTTTTGCTTTCTAGGTAACTTATTATTCGTTTAATTCCGTAGCGTTTGATAACTGTATCGATTAAGAAATATTCAAATATTACACCAGGTAGAAGATAGTATTTGAGAAGTGCCGGTGAAAGGTTACGGTCTGAATCATATTGCCAACATGCTCATATTTGTGATATCATTTTGTTCTTTTTCCTGTTACAATTTAACGCAATCGTCCTTCCCAATTTTAAAGACGGGAGATCCGACGGTCTTGCTGAACTTTTACAAAGCATTTATTGAGTGGAGTTTCTTGGCAGCAGTTACTGCAGGTTATCTAATCTAGAGTCTTTCATACATAATCCAACTGTTTGGCGTTTGTATATCTCGGAAGCTTTGAATTGCAATTTGATAAATATATTATCCAGTCGTCTTGAGGAAGATACTTTGTCAATAGTAGGGTGTGCTGCTCGAGTACCCAAGCATTTGAAGATTGTAGTTGAACAAAGCAACAGATGGAAGGGAACTTACTTGTACCGTGCAGTTATCGTTTCCACGGGTGTTTAACAATGTGAGTTTTCGTGTTCTATTGAGTCCTGGAAAGAGGTTCTATGCTCTGTTCCAGAACGTCTCCCTTTCAGTTCGGGGTTCCTTCTATTCTTGCTCTTGGTGTCCCTCACTCCCGCTCTGCTGCCGAAACCATGGCAATGCAAAAGTGGATAAGTGTTGGGGTAATTGTTACTGGGGGCTTTCTTTTCTGCGTTGTGCATTTTTCGTTTCATATACCTCCGCATTCTTGCTTTAATTTCTTGCACTTTATGTCCCGTGACTTGTTTATGTGCCGAATTGGATTCTCCTTTCTCCATTTTTTTTATATTGATTGGTTTGTATGTCTTCTTCTTGATTGTATTTTACACGTCTTACTTTGATGTGGTGTTTCCGGATCAAAGCTATTTATATGGGAATTGATGAAGAGATCGATTTTTTGGAAGTTAAACAATGAGATCTTTGCAGAGTTGCTGTTTTAAACCTCTCTTTAGCGCAGATTCTAATTTACTAGTTTCCATAAGGGTTTTCCCAACCCTTAGTACAGTGATGTGACGGGAGAGTTCAAGTGTTGAAACAACCTGAGATGTTTGTGTGTTCAGGTGAACCGGACTGCCAAACTGAAGCAGTGTAAGCTGGACGCTCGAAGGGAACAGTGGTTATCACAAGGTTCTCAAGGTATAATTTCTGTCATGTAGGTCTATTGATAAGATCAAAACCTTAGATCAGTAGAAGCTTAGGAGTGATCTAGCATTGTTTTGTTTTGTTTTGTTTTTATTTTCCGGGTGTTCTGCCTTGATTTATAATGAAGGGTTTTTCTTTGGTTCCACTTCACGTGTTCTGATTGGGTGAGTCATTCTCGGGTCATTGATTGTAACTCAGGCTAGGCTCCACATGGGACATGCTCGTCATGTTTAAATTCTGGCTTCTGTGGAACCAGTCGGGAAATTTTGTTGTCTTTTACATAGTTCATCTTGCTTATATTAAACGTGTGGAGGTTGGAGATGTTTGGATTTAGGTTTGAATGATTGAGCAGACTAGAGCCTTGCATCCTCAATTATCTCTTACATATCTATGTGAGCTTAAAGATATGTTAGTTCGGATTGGAGTCGTTCAGTTCCTAGTGGTGGGACTCGATACCTTGATGTTTCTTTCATCTCTGACAGAAGGTGTTCTTTCGAGTACTGCAAGCGAATAGGGTCTTTAAAGTGGGGTCAGGGAGAGAGTCTCCGTTAGCAGCCTCTTCTGTTCTCATGTTTTCTATATAAAAACAGGATTTTAACCTGTTAGTAATCCCTTGACTTCATTGATTCAAATTTTTGTGTCCCGTATCATCGTTTCCAGGAAAACAAGATAGGGCGGAACAACAGCAACAAAGTAATGCGCAGCAGCATCAGAGTTGTAAACATCATCATAAGGCAGGAGATGGTGAGTGCATGGCGCAGGAAAGGGCTGGTCCGTCAGGGCATCCTCGCAGTCAGGCCTCAGGATCCAGTGGATCTGCTGGTGAGCGGACACCTGTAGGTTCACCTGCTACTCATTCTCGGTCGTCTGGCAGTGTTTCGGGTAACGAAGCTAAGAACTCTAAAATAGAGGCTCCACCAAGACGTCAGGATGGTTCCTCTAGGGCATCTAAGTATTTTGGGGACGAAGAATTGCATGGAGGAAGTGACCATAAGCAGGACTTGGCTAATAACGGGCGTGCAAGTAGTAATGCGAGCAAGTCGAGGTCAAATAGCTCTTGTGCAAGTAGTAGCTATACAGGAAGCGGTTCCGAAGACAACGATGAGTCACATGAAGCAGAAGATGATTGGGAATCTGCTTTTGATGCGTTGCATGTGCAGAGCTCGCCACATCGATCTGAGGGTTCACATAAGGGTCCTAGTTCTGATAGAGCGCAGCATAATGAAGGAAAAGAGCTGCATGATAAGAAGCAAAATGGTGCTCATCAGTACAATCAGCATCATTCTGATATGCAGAGTGGCCAGCTGAAACCCGAGTATAAATACAAGAATTCTGGATTCGGAGGTAGGAGAGGACACGGCGGAAGGGCTTGGCGGCCTGACGATGTGTCTCGGCCTCCGACATTGCCGAGACTTACGAAACAGCATACATATCCAAACCATTCGAGCAGTAACCACCAAGGTTGGGGTAACATGCACGGAAACTTGTGGGGCAATCAACCTGCGACACCATCATACTGCCCGATCTGCACAGAGGAGCTTGATATGACAGACTCGTCGTATATGCCCTGCACTTGCGGCTTTCAACTTTGCCTGTTCTGTTACCACAGAATTTCTTCAGATGACGGGCGCTGTCCAGGTTGTAGGAAAGCCTACAACGCTGACTCTGCTGTAAAGCTGTCGCGGTCCTCCTCTGTCTGGCTACGAGTTTGAACATGAAATGTGGATGCACGACTTTCTAGAGTGAGAGTTGGAGGATATTAGAATATGTTGTGTGGTTACCATAGTGGTCTTTCCAGCGTATGGATGCAGCAAGGACATCTTATGTAGCATATCGACTTGGCTTTTAAAGCACTAGTAAAAAATTATCTGTTGAATTGGATTACGGCAGTAGGCTTTTGTTGCCTCTGTTTTGCAAACTAGTACTCCATTTTGTCAGATTGATACATTGAACTCATGGTCATCTGGGAAAATCTTTAAATTTTTTTTTTAAAAAAAAACTTGGCTATCTTGAAAACAAGTCTTGGCACCCCCGATTATTTTTTGCCCTTTTTCCAGCTCCTTGTCCCCGTGGTGCCGAGGTAACTATATAATTATCCCTTGAGTTGTATGTCATTGTAGACTGCACATCCTCTGTCCTAACCTTTTAACCCTTGTGTTTGGGGTCGTCAGTGGTCCACTAATCTCCTACAAGGAGATGTGTTTTCCCACTTCCATAATCCTCTTCATTACCTCCGGTGATGGCCCCTGTTGTATACCTCATTTGTATCGAGTTGTAGACACTCCTACGTTATCTTTGAATTTTTGTTACTTAAGCTGCACATGGTCATTGATATTACTAGTTTTTTTTTTTTTTTTTTTTTTTTTTGGTAGTGTTTTAGTAACAAAAAACTCCCATTGTAGTGCAAATAAATCTTGTGTGAAGATGGATCACTGTACGTTTTGCCAACACTTGTGAGTGATCACGGGCATAAACCAATAAAAAATAATTAATCAAATGCAAAAATTATATTCATTTATTATGTTGATTGTATTCAGTTGAATTGAAGTTTTACTAATTGTTTGAAATAACAAGTTTAACACATGATAAATGTAATTTACACATAACAATAACTAGATCATGACTTATGCTTGTTTTATAGTTTGTCACTAACAAAATAGTATTAAACATCATTTTAAAAGTTTGAAGAGTTTTTTATTTTTATTTTAACCTATATAAACAAGAAGATTGCTATCAATTTACATGTGAAAATTATAGTAAATATTTAATATCTTGAAATATGGAATAATTTTAAATTGTAATAATACAAAATTTTCAGTATCATATTGTAATTTGTGTTGATCAAAACTCCAATATGGTAAATTTTTAGTTTCTGATGTGTTTTATTGTCAATGTAACTGGTGACATTATATTCATAGTTAAACTCTCGAATATTTTAATTGTGATACTCTTATATCGGTTTAGAATTTTAAAATATTTATATAGTTCATATAGATTATAATACACTTCCTTTGGATTTGGATTTGGATTTAATTTTTTTAAATAAATATTTATATTTTTGTAATTATGGTTTTTAATAATGATATATTTTTACAAGTTTTAAAAGTAATATGGTCTATTGTATTTTTAATGTACTTAGTGTTAAATAAATATTTCTATGAATTGATTTTTAAATTATATAAATATATTTTCCCTCATCTTTGTTCATTTGTTATTGCTTCTTATTAGTAAGTCCTTAAGAGCTCTTACTTTGCAACAAAAAATAGAAACCTAAAAGAAGCATTTGAAGGAAACAAAATATTACTTAATGTACACCAATGCAATAACTAAGTAATATAATAATTTTGTAAAAACTCAAGAATTAAAATCTACATCATCTTAAATTATATCTAAAATTGTTGAGATCGCTTGGCCAAACCATCACACGGAGACAATCACTTATTTTTACCATCTTACTATTCTTTATGTACATTATACAAAAAAACAAACAAATATGCTTAGTATTATATATATATATATATATAATTGTTATAGTTAAATTAAATATTTTTGTATATTGTGTATTAATTAATTAATTAACTGATTTTTAATTTATTTAAATTTGAAATTATTTTTAAACAACATTTATTTTACCATATCATGTAATTAGAATTCAAATTTATCAAAAACAATTGGTTTTAATAATTTAATTTTTGATATATTCATCTTATTATTAGGAAATTATTTTTTATTATACATCATACCTAAATTGCAAGCAAGAGATCTTATATTTTATTAGTAAAAAATTATATAAGCTACTCAAATCTTAGTAGATGCATTTAAATTAGATATTTTTATGTTCTATAAAGTGACATTCACGTTACAAATTATTCTTTTTAAATCATCTATAATGATATTAATATCATATATTTTATTATCATGTCAAACTTCTTAGACTCTACAAAAGACTAGAATCCAAATTACATAAATTTGTTTCATATAAAAATAAGAAAATTTATTAAAAAATTAGACTTCTATTGCAAAGTAATTTACATTTCTTTTAAATACTAGAAATGTGAATAGTTCTCTATAGATAGTGGATATTGTGGTTGTAATATATAGAGTATTACAAATATAATTATTTCAATTTAAAAAGAATTTACAAAAAGAAAATATTATTTTGTGTGTTGCATATTATACAATTATATTGGAAAAATATTGTCAATGCATGAATGTTCTCTAGTTATAGAATATAAAAGCAAAGCATATATATAAAATCTATATTTTGATCAAATTGTTTGCAACACTTTACCAACAAGAAAAAAATAATGTACTTCATTTTAAATAGATATTTTTACTTACAAATATGTCTTTTTATTAGTTTAGAACACTATTGGACTATAAAAGTACTTATAATATTAAAGAAAAGTAATATTTTTTTCAAAACTTACCATGGAATTATTAAAGATAAACTAAATATTCTAATTCCTTTATACATTAATTTTTTTAAACCTACAAGGTTTTTTACTTTAACTAAATTTAAAGTATACACAAGATATTTTTTACAATAAATTTTAAAAAATAAAATAAAATATTATAAAAATGTCAAAAGAAATGATGTAATTATTAATATTAGAATTTTATTTTTTATATGAAAAAATAGATTAGCTTTTCATAACTAGGAACATTTTAAACATGAATCTAGTAATAGTTTAATAACCTTATTTAAGTATTATACTTCAATTTTAACTATTATATAAGATATTTTTTAAATATTATTTATATAGTGGTGTGCTGCTATGTTTTTGACAAAATTCATCATATTATATTTATCAACAGATATGAAATATCTAAATGAAATCGTCCTAAAAAAATATAATTTTTGTATATTAATGTAATGATTTATCTTTTTTTAGAGATATCATATCTTTTTAAAATATATAAAATTAAACATTTAAATATAATTGTATTATAATTTAAAATAAAATAAAATAATGATATTAAGATTACTTTAAATCCTTTTTACTTTATAATAAAGTACTTTATATAAAAATTATGTATAATAGATATTACTAATGTCACAACATTTTTTCTATTTGACAAATTTCTTTAGTGTTTGTTTTTTTAATTCAATCAAATTGTTTGAAAGGTATTGAATAAAGGTGGTATATGGTAGATTGAGGATTGTGGCGATAGTAGCAATATCTTTTATATACACATATATATATATATATATATATATATTCTTGTTGAAACCACACCCCTTCTTTCCATTAAATGATTCATTTTGTACCAGTTATATGTCCTTGACCTTGTTCCCATCCTATATGCCTCATTCCCCATTCATGTACCCCGTTCTCATCTCATGTGCCTTATTCTCTTTTTGCATCTCATTCCCATCCATTGTTTTTGCATCACGCTCCTAGCTACTGTCTCTGCCTCCACCCTTGATCCCACCACCATGTCCCCATCTTATGCTTAATGAAGAAAATTTCTCTTTTAAAATACTTTGCTATTTAAATATGGTATTAAGAAAATAGAGATAATAAAATAGAGTGATTTTTTTTTTTTATTACAAACCTAAATATGTTATGTTATGTCTTGATTATAACAACTATAATATATATATATATATATATATATATGTATATATAATTTACTTTAGAAATTTCTGATTTTTCTTCTTAATTTTTAAAAAATAATATATATATATATATATATATTTCTATATTTAAAATACCAATTTGAAGTTTTTATAACAAAGTTCTTAAAAAATCATATTTTTTTAATACACACACTCACGAAATATATTCATTGTTGAGATTGCAAGCAAACAGTAGACATAACACGTATTTCACACCATACTTAGAATGGGATGATTTTAGGTCTTCTTTGTAAGTGTGTATTCCATTCTTCATAGAGAAGGGTCAACAAACTTATGAAGGAAAACAAACAAACAGAAGGAAAAAAAAAAAAAAAAAAAAAAAAAAAACAAGTATGAAGACGAGATGGAGGTTGGAAAGAAGTAACCAGATTTTATTATTATTATTATTATTATTATTATATTGAGATTCTTGAAAAGAACTGTGAAAACCCATTTTATTTTATATTTTAGAGCCCCCACTCCAAATAGTATTGTGGGCGATACGAAATGGAGGTGACCACTTTGTGGGTGATCGATCTAACCTAACCTATCCACAACCATGTGGCCAGTAGTGCCACCCCCGAAGTAGCGCGGAGCTCTCTCATTGGCCTCAACCCTTCCGAATCATATCTGGCCCCTCATTGATTCCCGCCAATTCCAAGTTGGCGGATCTGTCCCCCACCAAATTAGATCTGTCCACCAAATTTGAACTGCGGAGTTGGGTCGAGTTAGAATTTCCGATTCCGCGGCGGAGAATTTTGATAGCAAAAAGGAGGTGTTACTGTGGAGGGGTCAAGACGGCAAGGTGGTGGGGGCTGCTCCGACGCCCATCAGCCAACACTGGTGGAGCAGTTCGAGCTCAGACCGTCCGTCCACAGTGTGCGTGCGTGCATTCAGGGCTGTAATCAATCAGCCTCGACTCTCCCTCCTACGCAGCCGCCATACGTGGCTGAAAGGCAAAAGCTCGGTAGGGAGGGAAGGAAGGAAGGAGCCTTCTGCGTTTCCACCAGGAGAGAGAGCACTGATACTCCTCCTCCTGCCCCCTCCCTCGGGCGGAGATAGCTGGTTGTGCTTCTAGTGGTGAGCGATGACACCGTCGTCGGTGCCTCAGCGGAGATGCCTCAGCGACGCTTTTGATGTTGGTGCTTTCGCAACGCAGAATGTGGAAATGTGCTTTTGTTTCTGTTGTGTGAATGGAAGTTTTTTTTTTTTTTTTTTTTTTTTTTTTTTCATTTCGGCTTCTCAGCGCTTTCAACGCAGTCGATGTTTACTTAATTTCTTTGGTTCTTTGGGGGCTTCGTAAATAAAGATTATAGGGTGGAAATTTCTCAAATAAAATAGGAGAGTAATTACAAGTTTCTATTATTGTATACATTGGATATTTTTAAGCAATGGGGAATAAGTTGCTCAAACTATACAAATGTGTTTCCACACAGTTAAATTTGTTTTCGGAGTTTATATAAATATGTTTTTAAATGCAAAGGTTACTAGTTTAAATTAAACAAAAAAATATAAACAATATATATTTATACATATCAAATCTCTCTTTTATATCATTTATTCTTTTGTCATATTTTTTGTGTTTTATATGTTATTGTAGACACTTACCTTAAATAAATACTTCAACATATAGTTAAAACAACACATTCAATCTATGATTTATTTATAGAATAAATTAGTATTAATAAAATTGATTTCAACTTCTTTATTAATATATATATATATATATACACATTGATCAAATTTAACATTTTTGAATGTTAAAATTATTCTTCAGAAATATACAACATAATGCCTTCTTATTTTAAAACTAGTATGTATAAATATACTGTTATTGCTAAAAAATAACAACCTATTATATAAAATATGTACGGCACCATCACCCTTGGTAGCATGTGGTAAGCAAGGGTGGTGGTGCCGTGCATATGTTAAGCAACGGCAGCTGCTAATAAACGTGCAGCCACACATTTGACCATATAACCAAGTCCTCACTACACCCCCCGCCCGCCCGCCCGCACCCGCGCTGGCCCCGCGAGGTGGACTAACAGACAGTGTCGGGCCGCTGGGAAGGTCATGAACCGCCAAGCACAACCGCAAGACCGCTGCCACGATGGACATAGTCCACGTGGACAGTCTCATCTGGCCGGCAGTCATCGTGGACAGTTAGGTCACAATCGTTGCACGGCACCACCACCCTTAATACCGCAACCGCGCGGCAGTGGCACCGCTACTGATCTTCGAAATCCCTCTGCTTTCACGCCCCTGTGGCTTCCTTGCGTCCGTTAAATCCTTTGCTGTGGTCGGAGCTCTGATCAATCGAATCCTCCAAGCCACCCAATCTTCCCTGCTCTGTAATCCTGCGTCGGAATCAGTATTTGGGTAGAGGCCCAGCGTTTGGAAGTCTTATTCTAGCTCTTCGTTGGTTCATTTGTGAGCAGTGAAGGCCGGAGCTTCGTTTGTTAGGTGCAGGTTGTCGCTACCTCGTGTGGCGATGGCGGCCTCTCTGTTGTCCAGAACGAGCGTGTGCGTGGGAACGGAGGCGCGCGTCGTCGCTAAGAGGTTTGTGGCTGCGAGAACGTGCAATGCGGTGTCGTTGGGGTCGTCTTTCAATGAGGTGACGAAGGTGAAAGGACTTGGGTTGGATGGGTTGAGCCTAGCGCGGCGTGTGGAGAGGAGGAGAAGCGGAGTTGTGCTGAATGTAGCGGCGCCGCTGACGTTGGTGCCAGAGCCGGAGACGCCCGAGGTAGCTGAGGAGGTTCAAGAATTCGACGCGTCGAGGAAACCACCCTTCACGTTGAGCGACATCCGGGCTGCAATTCCGAAGCATTGTTGGGAGAAGAACACATGGAAATCATTGAGCTATGTGTTGCGCGATGTGGCGATTGTGTTCGGGTTGGCCGCCGGCGCTGCAGCTGTGAACAGCTGGTTTGTGTGGCCGTTGTACTGGCTGGCGCAAGGAACCATGTTTTGGGCTCTCTTCGTGCTGGGCCATGACTGGTAATTGTACTATAACTTGTTCGAGATTGAGAGGACACGCAATTTTCGTGAGAATGCGGGAATGTTAGATGTGGAATTCTGAGAGTAGCCAGACATGCCACAGGTTTTGTATGTTAAGTTGTGTTGCGGTCTTTAGGCTTCACTCCACAGTTTGTTGCAACTTGCATGGTCTCTTGCTTTGCGAGCTTGTAGGTCGGATGCTAGAGGTGTGAATTTGGGATGAATAATGGCCGAAACCTTCCGGTTGCGTGTGTGGAGCTGTTTTTTCGCTCACAAAGCTTGAATCTAAACCTTACAGACATGGGCGTGGCTGTGTGTGTGCAGTGGTCATGGCAGCTTTTCCAACAACAAGACGCTGAACAGTTTGATCGGTCACCTAACTCACTCATCCATACTTGTTCCATACCACGGGTGGTGAGAATCTTTCTCATAATGTCCTCCTTCGTCTTGGAGTAGATGCTGTTTCACACATGCCATTGGTAGAGTTGTGACTGAATTGTGTGATGGGGTGGGTGCAGGCGGATTAGCCACAGAACTCACCACCAGAACCATGGGCATGTGGAGAACGACGAGTCGTGGCATCCGGTAAGTACATTTGACCGCTGGGAGCATAATTCTTGGAGAAAGTGGGCGTCTGATTTGGTAGCATTCTAATAGTTTTTGTTACGTGCTTCTCTTATTATTGTCGGTGGTTTTTGTAGTTGACGAAGAGCCAATACGACGGCATGGACTTCTGGGCGAAGGTTGGGCGTCTGAAATTTCCGTGGGCTATGTTCGCGTATCCATTCTACTTGGTAGGTGTCTACACCATGGCTGTGAACACGTGAACACGAGAATTTGGGTGGTTTTGAAAACAGGAAGTGGAGGTGAAGAGGAACCATGTGTTTTGGTAGGATTTAGGGGACTACTAAATTGTCCTAAGGTGACATTATTTGACGGTTATGATCATGGTTGCAGTGGACGAGGAGTCCCGGAAAGAGTGGATCCCACTATGATCCGAAGAGCGACCTGTTTGTACCGAGCGAGGCGAAAGATGTGATCACGTCCACCACTTGCTGGACAGCAATGCTTGCAGGTCTTGTGGCCCTGAGCTTCGCCGTCGGACCCATGTGGGTGTTCAAGCTGTACGTGGTGCCCTACTGGGTGAACGTGGTGTGGCTAGATGCTGTGACTTACTTGCACCACCACGGCTACGACAAGAAGGTTCCGTGGTACCGTGGAACGGTGAGTACGTTGAATTGCAGAGTTGGTCGATAAGGCAAGACGTATGTGAAGGCTGCTTATGTAGGAAGCGATGGTGGATTTGGCTATGGCTAGTATCTGATGGGATTTGGATGTTTGTGGTTGCAGGAGTGGAACTACATGCGCGGCGGGCTGTCCACAATCGACAGGGATTATGGGATTTTCAACAACATTCATCACGACATTGGTACCCATGTGGTGCACCACTTGTTTCCTCAGATTCCTCACTACCACCTGATTGAAGCGGTAAGTTGTGCTGATCGAGCGAGTGTTGGGTGTGTTCTGTTTTGAGATGGTAAACATGGAGTAAACGGAGGTGTTTGCTTTGCAATGGAGGATGAAATGAAGGCTGAGGTGGAAAGGTGTTTGTGTGCAGACTGAAGCGGTCAAGCCTGTGTTGGGAGATTACTACAGAGACCCAAAGAAGTCAGGGCCCATTCCGACACATCTGTTGGATCCTCTTATGACCAGTCTGAAGGAAGACCACTACGTGGCTGATACGGGCGACATCGTTCACTACCAGACAGATCCTACCTTCTGAGTGCCATAGCAGTGAGTTCTGGCTGTCCTACGCTGCGAAGTGGCCTTAGGACAATCTCAACTTCCGTTGCGGTCCTGAAGAACTAGTGATCATATGCAATTTTTTTTCTACTAATTTATAGGACTTAGTGATATATTTACTTCTCTGCAGTTGTGCAGAAATGGATCTCTTCAGTGGAAGAGTATTTACACTTGATGGTGCTCAGTGCCGGGATGGTCTCGACGTGTATGGTTACACGTATTGGTCATGTACTGAAGGTTAATCTCGGGCCATCCTGAAATTATTTGGGCGTGGATCTGGAAACTTTTTGGGAGTCGACAGGCTACGCCTCGAGGTTATTTCCTCGTTGTAGTTTTTGGAGAAGTTATTTCCACACAAAGCATCTTCGCGGTGGGTAAAGTTGAAACCGGTGGGTAGGGTGAGAAACTGATGGAATTGAAGCGAATGGACTGAAGTCTCATTCTTGCAGATGCGCGTAGACGTGCGCAACTATCAACAGAAGTCGGTGGAAACTTATTGAACGATGTATCCCATCGTAGGGCTGATTTGCTTCAATGAGCGGCATTCATCAATGGTTCTATTCATAGATTTATAGATTAAACCTTGTTCTTTCTCTCCATGTATTATTATTCAACGGATTTAGAATGATTGCAGTGACAATTTTCGCGTTTGTTTGGAACGCAGAATATTGTTGCTGTACAATATTTTATATCTTCAAACCTGATTTGTGCACAGCTAATGGGGACACGTGACATGATTTATCCAGAATGATCATTATTGTGACAATGTGTGTAGCATCAGTGTATGAAGTGACACCACACGCCCTGTCAGTCCAACAATTCTTGCTTAAAAATCTGTTGTTGTTGTTGTGCCAAATCATGATCAATTCATACACGTAAGGAACTTTAATATCTCTTTTTCCGTCAATAGGACGGATTTTTGCTTAAAATCTCAAACCAGCTTTTGCGCATATTTTTTTTCCTGAGCACTCTAAAGTTTATTCTGTCACACACCATTCAATTGTCTGAAAGCGGATTGTCAAATTCATGATTTGATTCGTGCAGTAAATTTTTCTATCTACATCAAATAATGTGACTAATCATTTGCAAATATCCGTAGTCACAGTACGAAAATATCATGCAGAAGTAAAGCGACAACAAATTGATATCGAAGTAATTATTCAGTTGACATCAAACTACCACTGTCAAATTCTCACACTCTCAGCATTATATGTGACAATAACCATTACATAAAATATCTCTAAATCAGTGTTGATTTTGCCCTGTGCTCCTCATATTGTGTTTGACAAATTTGTTTGGAGAAAAGGGTGACCCAACAGTAGAACTAATCGTTGCACGTGGTATCTGATGCATCGTACTTCCAATGTTATAGATATCTTCAAGATAGTCAAAGTTGTATCATTGTGAAAAAGAATTCCACCTTATTGGCATATCTGCTTATTTTAATTTTTAAACCTCTAAGCACGTTGTGTACACAATAATATCAAAACCTTCTACCTAAATTACTAATTTTTGTTGTACATGACAGAAAATAAAATTCAAATTCTTTTTTCAATTTTTATTGCACTTAAGAAATGATTATAAACTACTATTACCATCATTCAACATTCTTTTAGAATCTTCACTTACTTGACACTATCTCTTTAGTTTTTAAACTAACAAACGCCACTAATATAAGTCTTTACATGCTAGCAATGCCCCAGAACTTTCTTTGTTGTTAATTTGATGGTCCCTATCCTTCAGTGGAACTTAAGCCTCCTTTGCCTTCTGCTCCTCAATTACATCAATACTTACAGTTGTTTGTGATGCAAACTAGGAATTCATTTACTTGGCGAAGTAACTGAAAAAAGAAATGAAGTCAATTGACGCTGGCCGCTGACTCTCGACAAATCCACCACTGACATCGAAGGTAATAGATTCTGTCTGAAAGAGTGAACCCCTCATTCTGATGGAATCTGGTCGTCACATCATTGTTTGCATCCAAACGTCGTGTCTGGCAACGACAGATCTAAAACTTTGTTTCTCAGACTGAATTTACTAGGAGAGTCCTCAGAGACCAACACTAGCCTGAAGATATAATACAGTGATAATAAACGAGGGTGAAGTTAGTATCATACAACTCCCTCTCAAATAGATACAAAGGGATGCAACATCTGGGATCGCTAAATCTGCATCTTGTGCCAGCCGTGATTCATGTCCTACTCTGGTGCAGATTGTGTACACATCACCAGCGGCGCTGATGGGACAAAATGTGATCATTCTCTTAACGCAAGGCAATTGCCTGCTGCAAGCACGAGACTTTTCTACTCAAAACTCAAATTCCAAATACTTTTGCTGCAGCCTCCATAAACAAGACTCACTTTTTCTCTGCTTCAGCGACGAAACTCAACGCTCGAAAGACATAAGCTGCACTCGGAGGGATGGAAAATAGGGTACAAAGCAACCTTCTCAAAAGCAACAAGTAAGGTGAATAAGGAGTTGTTCATTAAAGCTTCTCATGAAGAATTGTGCTGCTGTCGTGCAAGGTTTTGCTGTTGCAGCCTCCTAGGCAGGTTGAGGAGAGAGTTGACCTGCGTCTCCCCTTCTAAAACTGACCACTCTTCCTCTTCCTGTCCATCTGCACCCAGCCAATCAACTAACTTCCGCGGCTGCTTCGTGGTCTTGGGATTTCCAGATGGCTCCCCAGGTGCAATCTCCTCCGTTTCCAAAGACTGCGACGCTTGTGGATTTTGATGTCCTGATGATAGGCCAGCCATAGGAGTTCCGGACTCCCTATGAGAGCCATTGGAGCACAAGGAATAGTTATAGATGTCATTAGGTTTGGATCCCTCATTTGGTGTCAAACCATCGGATGGAGCCGAGTATGTTTGGCTTACGTAGAGACACACCACAGCACAATCGTCTACTTTGGAGGTCGGATATTTCAACCTCCAGACACAGACGGCGGATTCTGCAAGGGCACGTGCAGCCGTTGCACGTGTTGGCGCTTGTGTTATCACTTGCACTACTTCGTCGATGCTTAATACATCCCAGATCTGCACCACACAAGCAAAGGCATATTCCATCACCTCCAGATAAACTGTAATGAGTTTGCATCAGAATAAGGAAATCCATTTGAAGAATGTTTTTCATGTGAAACTTTGTTGTGATGATGCGCACGACATACCCCATCAGTTGCCAGAAGAATGAACTGGTCTTGATTTGTCAGATGTCGGTAGGACATTTCTGGGACTGCGATGACACCATAGTCTTTCAAATAGAAGTCACCAAATGCACGGGCCATTGCAAGCCCAGGCGAGTCATCGAAAGGCAACCAGACACGTGGAACCTCTGGCTCATCCTGCAATGCAAAGAGACGTCCACGACACTGACGAATACTGTCTGCTTCTCCTGCAATTTCGTTTCAGTGAGTGCTACAGAAAATTCAAAGGCTCGAAGGTAAAATACTAACAAAAGAATTGCACAGTATGCTACTCAATTGTGTCTCCACGATAACCCAAAATCCAAGAGATTTTTGGCCACCACAAGGTTATATTACTTACCTGGCAAGTTAGGCTTCAAATCTACTGTCAGTTGAACAGCTTTCCAAATCCCATTCTCATCTCTAGTCCCAAGAATAGCGCGAGAGTCTCCAACATTCCCTATCACTAGATGTTTGCCCTGCACATATAGTAGTTGCCAAAGAACTCTCAGATCTTAAGCTTCCAAACAAGGGAAACAACAACACAATGTTTAACTGGAGATCAACTGCAAACATGGAGAGAATGTTTACTTGTTTTAGCACAGTAACGGCAGTGGTACTGCTTCAAAAACAGTCTATCCCAGGGTGAGATCTCAGCTCCTTGTCCATGACTTTATGGCTGTCAATTGAGACTCTTTCCGAGTGTTGAACATTAAGGGCTCCTCCACTTCTTCCGCAGTCTCAGCTGATATCAATTTGCCTTCTGATCCGTTCTCTTTATATACAGAGCTCCCATTTTGGTGCACAGTTTCATTACTCACACCATTGCCTGTAATTCCTGGCTGCTCTACAGCTTTCTGATAGAATTGCACCTGGTGAGCTTGCTGCTCTTGCCAGAAGTGGAGAATCTTTGAGGGACTGAGTCTCGCACCCTCCGTGCTACAAGGTGCCCATGTGGGCCATGACCATCAAAGACCCCAAAGAAGACTGTATCCTCCATGATGCGTAATTCTGCGCAAAATTGTCCATAAACAACAAGAGAAACTCAATAGACATCCATCTAAATTTAGCCTCTGCATTTGAATCAGTTCAAGTTGTTCAATGTCTCTCTTTACAGCTCGTAGTTGTCGCTCTGGAAGGAAATGCGTCACTCGACTCTCCAAACCAAGTAAGTTAGGTGCGCTAAATCAGATGAAGAAGAACTTAGCAATGCATTGCCGGGCAGTTTTCCATATACTCTTAACGGAACGGCACAGAAGAAACTTAACGTACTACTTAATGTAATTGAGTACCATCTCTCACTATTCATTCCATGAATTACTCCACAATTGATGACAGAAGATACGACCAGATTGGCGGTCAACTACATAAATGAAAGTTTTCAGCCATTGAGTCAATGGTGAAAAGACAAAGATGATAAGAGTATGCTTATGAACAGTGGAAGCAGTTTGAATAGCCAACAGTCAGGTGACGTTCTCCCGAATCGCAGTATTAACATAAGAATCCCTAAACACTCAGAAGCCGTTTGCGACAGAAAAAATTTAACACACAATGGGAAAGAGAAGCAAGAGATTTGCATATACCTCCCACACAATCATGGCATCTTGGTTGGTCCCTTTGCGGCCTTGCTGAGGGAAGAGACAAGCATTGTTACTGGCGCAATTAGAAAACATGCGGCCAAGAACCATAACCAAAAGAGCATCGGATTTCCCCTCAGCGCTCAAGCACTTCCTTCCTGATTTGTTTCCTATTCTGCAGTTCACTCTACATCAACGGAGCTGAGGCACAACACCCCATTTTTCTCCCACGATTAAAGCTTTTTCTCCTTCAATTCTCCTACTTCTGAGTTGCTTCTGTCAATACCCATGTAAACTATCCTGTACCTCCTCATCGGTACCGTCCACCCTCATTCCATCAATCAAACCCAAGTCCTGGTTGTCACGCCTCACCGGCAAAATTTGAATCGCTTGTTGTCATTATTGGAAGGTTCGTAGCCAACCCATGGATTGCCGCTCATATGCTATTGGTGAAGAAACAATGCAAGTGGAAACAACCTCCAGAAACAATCTAGAAAAACCACTTGTTTACTTCTTTAAATGTTTTTAAAATAAAACCAGTAAGCACCCGTTTCAAAATCAAACAAGGTGCGGTCAATGACTTCCTTGGACTTCGTTGCTTAGAAACCATACAAGAACAATCCGCCGATGTCAAATTGGGAGCAACACACGGGATTATGATTCCAAACCATGGTTTCAGACTCCCATTGAACTAGACCACATGCTCTTCCACCTTCAGAGGCTCCAACGCAGTCCATCTAAACTTGGGCGGCTTTCGATGACCTCGTGTAACTCATGATCATCGTGAACCCGCAAACCAACCATTACTAATACAAATTGACAACAAAGAAGGACCAGAACAGTGAGGAAGCAGCGGACAACACTCCAACTCCTCACCGAAGCTCCACAGGCAGCCAAAGAGAAGATTACACCCTCTCTTTGCGCCTTAAACACAAACCATTACGCT